TGGCAAATTATTTTGCTGTTCTTTTTAATATACTGGAATGTTTGGCCCTTAGTCTTATCGCTCAGAGTTAGCTAATCCCATGAACATAATTAAGACCAATTCATTGCACAATTCTTGTAGTATTTCATGTATGCTTTCTTTCAACAACAAAATGATTAATTTTTGAGCCTAACTAGCTGTTATCATTCTACAGCTAATTTTGTAACATTCTTTAGCACATTTCAGTTGCTACTATCACACACATTTAATAGCTTTTTAGTATTACCCGATATTTTTCTTAAACGGAGACTGGTAATTAACACAAATGTTTTTAAAGTTTTGCTCAGTTTTCTGATATTGCCTTACAGGAAGCTGTAGGCCTTACAAAAAGTAAAGTTAGAATATGCTTGCCTAGCACTTTGCGAAGCATTCAGAAGTATTATAGAGGATAGTCTCTCAATTTTGTGCTCAAAATAAAGGTACTGAAAAAACTTTCTTGTTTTTGAAGTGGATTATACTTCGCTTTTAAACAGAAAAATTAATTACCATACTGACAACTATTTAGAGAACGAAATCCTTTCTCACAATAAGCATGTTTAGTGTTCTGTTCGAAATATTTATAGAACAATAGTGTATCATTTAAAATCTCATTTCTCTATTGACATCTATTACCCTGTTTAAAATTTAGTCCTGTCAGTCCAGGGAATTATGACTTTAAAGTTCTATTCGAATACGCAGACGTTTGAAGAATATCGACATCATCTAAAATATATGTATTTTTCGTGCTTAAATAAATTTATAGAGAGTATGTATTTACCGAATATTTTAAGACAAATAATAAAATACATTAAAAGAGTATAACATATATTTAACTTTAATTAAATCCTAAAGCAAATTTAAGTATATGTAGATACAGGAGAAATAGTCAAATTCCACGATTAATGTCAAAATATGACATGTGACCTTAGAAATATACTTCCAGTAAATCTATGCTAGTTATCTAAAAACAAAGAGAAATAAAGCTAGAATCAAATGTATCACATTATATGAGGCAATGTATGATAACATAGGACAATTTATGCGAAATACGTTATCTTTAAGATATTTTATGATCAATAAAACATTAACTGGTTCCAGCCGACACTTTTGACCCTTTGAACTAACAGTGTAATAATACTAACATGCCTAGTGCCCTAAATTCAAATAATAAACTAACGTATTTGGTTTGCATTTTGTATTACATCAACTTATTAAATTTTATCAAAAGCTTTTGTCTTTAGACTACGTGTGAAAGAAAGCCGAGTGCCTTTATATCCGATTCTACAATGGACACTATAAACTTTATAATAATATTTATATTATTCCTTTATTATACATTTTAAGTTGGTTAAATGAAGATTATCTTCTTTTTGTTAAGAGAAATGAATGTCTTGGTTTAAAACTGAACAATTTTAAAACGTGTATCTGCTTTAAGTGTCTTTGACTAAATACTGTTTGCGGTCGTTCAGCAGTTCATAGTTAAATGTTAACAAATCAAAAATAGCTCCTTGCAATAAAAAATTGCCAAAATGTCTGCAATAGAAAATGAATTATAATATTAAGAAAGGGAATGGAAACAGAATTATAATATTAATCCTGAACATTTGCATTAACATATTTTAAGTTATATAGGGTTACCTCACAGTGTAAAAACCAGGCATTCTACATGAAAGGGAATAATATTAGAATTCCAATGTTATTTGTATATGTTAATTGTATATGCTATATGCTACACAATGCTATTTGTATATGTAAGTATTATTGATAACATCGGTCATAAACAATGGTATGCTCTTTTTATTTCTTGAGTCTTGAAATTGAAAGGTATGTAGTTTTTAAAATTTATCAATTCGGCAAGATAATGGCTTCGACTAAAAGACTAAAGACTTTAGGAGTCTCAGCAGAACATAGCTGTCATAGTCCTTCAAAACAAGGCCAGACTTTTTTTTAAGCTTGAATAAGTGCTTGCTGATCAAATTCGCCCTCCTGATGGAGAAGTGTTCGGTTAATAACAGGAATGTTTCACTAATGAAAGCAAATTATAATGACTTTTTCAAGACAGTTTTACATAACTGTGGAATAAAGACGTAAGAAATAATGTTTTTTTTAAGTTAATTCTCTATCACCTGAAAGGTTTTGAAAATCTTGAAATATCATTTTTGATTTAGAAATACTAACGCAATATTCGGTTAATCAACATTTTCGTTGCGCCTCTTGATAACGTTACGCACGAGACTTTGGTCTTAATCAACGAACGTGTTATTACCGTAAATCACATTTAAAATTATCCCATGTTGATTCGTAGATGAACAAGTGAAGAAAACCAACCAAGAAAGTATTCGATTATTGAAACAATAAGGATTTTTAATAATTTGATCACAACTTTATATTTTCTTTTCTTTTCATAAATTCTTTTGCGACATTTCTAAGAATATAAGAAGTTCACTCTTTCTAAGAGCATTCATTGACGGATATTTTCCATGCACTATAGTGTTTGCAATTTGTTTTTACGGATTATAATTAAATTAAAACATTTTTGCACAAACCCTTATCATTACCATACAACATAATTTCTCTGAGCATTACAATTTTCTCTCACATTGAGCATTTTCATTTTCAGGCAGAATAATATAATATAACTTACTTCGAGGTTGTACTCTCAAAATACACATTTTTTAAATCAACATCTCATTATTTTCGATCCATCGTTGTTTAAAAGCATTAAATGTTCATAAAATAACTTACCTGCTCTATAAGTATTCAAACTCAGGAAAAAACAAGATTCGAATGAAGCAAATGATAACGTCTTGAATCATTCTACATATAAAATTAGTTAAATCAGAGAGGCCTCATTACTTACCTTTAAAATCTCTTAATGGAGCAGTAGATACATTCCACTTTGGATAAAAATTACCCGTAATTTTTTAATGGTAAGAATCAAATAAAAATTTTACATCATAAAATAAATAATATAAAATTAAAGGACATTTGCAAAATGTTATATGGAATTATCTGTGAGTACACTTAGGTTGTAAGTGATAAGTATGCCCTGTTTGAATCCCAACAAAGAGAAAATAATGTTTCATGTTACTTGCTTCCAAAAATAACTTAATGTCATACCTCTCTTCATTTAACTTTTAAGTGAAATAGGATGTAAGGAAGTATCGCACTCCGTGCATGCTCTTGTGGTTAAGTGGTTAACTCGTCAAGCTAACAATGGAAGATATGTGATGTCATCCATGTTAGAGCAAGGTTCAAGTTTTTTCTCCTGAAACCCTAATCCTCTCTACGTAATAAGTGTGAATAAATTCTAAAACAATGAATATACTATCAGTAATTTCTATAAGTGAATAATATACCTCCAGAAATATGTGTATAAATTTTATCTCTGGCGTATGGTATTTTACTGCTTACCATTAACTTACCATTAACTTTACACTTATTAGTTCATTAGTTTATGACGCATATAATTATTTATCAGAAAAGTTAAATAATAAAGATGTTTCTGAAATTATTTATTGCATAACTATCTAAACGAATGAAAAGCAATTGCATCCCTTTAGTTGTATTTTCCTTCTTCAATAACTTCAAGTTAATATCCCGTTTGTGATTTTTCCTTCAAAACATTTCTTTGCGACAATATAATATATAATTCAAGTAAAATAGGCGCAATCCAAAAAAGCATTTTGATTGCCTATTTTTATAATGGTTAATGCATCATAATAAAACATGCCATTTGCAGTTTGAATAAAAAAAAGCTGGGATAAAATGAACTTAAGTGCAAAAAAATTTTTTTTGGTTAAGATTTCATATCAAATCTCAATCTCATACTCAGCAATATCATCTTAAGGATTAAATTAACTTCTACTCTTATTTCGAATTTACTGGGGGATGCGAGTAATTTATAGTCATAGTAGTAATTTTGATCAAACTAAAAGTATATCTCTTAGTTATAAAACGCATTATAAATAAAAGAATTTCTGAAACTCGAAATGAAAATAAATATGACTGTTGAAAATGCTCTGTAATATCAGTTTGTTATTTATGTTTTATTCCTATCCCTAGAAAGACTGAAATTACAATAGTTTTTAATTCTTTGAGGAATGAAACGAAGTTAAAAAAAAACTGAAAGCATAAAATAGCGCCCTCCCCCTTAAATACAATTCTTAATACGAAGCTTCTCCAAGACAGGTTCACGGCCCATATCAAAGAATCGCCAAATAAAAGACAGCTTGCTACATAAACAGAAAATATTTGCAAGAAGTAATATTTTGGAACCTATTGTACGAAAATATAACTAAAAGAGTAATGAAAGTTTGAAAATATGATTTTTTAAAGATAATTAGTTTACTTTAAAATGCAATTAATTCGGCAAAATCAAGCAAAGGAAAAACTAAATATTCCCAAATGACTTTCAAAAATTTGTCAAAAGGGCGCAGAAATAAGACATTATACTATGTTCAAAATATCTCTATGCTTGGTCTAAATAATTTCCGAATTCTAATCCAGTGTAGGAGTTTGTTCTTTTAATATCTCTAATGCTCACTGTAACTTCTGTTACCCTCATCTTTTGTGTACAATTTAAAAGACCTAATTTATTTTTCAAAGCAAAATTATGTGAATCTTATTGTCTTATCTGCTATTATTATTTTATTTTTATTATTAATATAACTTTATTTAATTTTTTGCCTCTTATATTTCGATAAAGCACCATTTAAAGCAATGGAAACACACATTCTGTAGTCATACTTCCATTTCTTCTCCTTTCTTTGCGGCACCATTTACTTTAGTAGTTTTTTCATAACTTATCACATCTACTAAAAATACGTTTGAGCTTAAATAGTCCTAAAAAGAAGATATACATTTATACTACAGTAAACATTTCAGAAGAGACATAACGAGTCACATTAGTAACCGCATATGTTATGCAAGAAATATTCAAGTTTTTTAATGCATAAGACAAGATAAAATGCAAAGCTTACCTCATTGTCATTGACAAACCACTGTAGTTGGGCAGGTTCCAAAGACCTGGCAGAAGAGCAGTTTACATCTACTGTGTCGCCTACATAGTATCGAGAAACGCTTCCTGTAATACTGGGTCCTTCAAGTCCTGGGGGAACGTGAGGCACTAAACAAAAAAGAACATTTCATGGAGTACAACACAGAAGCTCTGACACTGGAGAAAAAAATATATCCTCTTTTAATATGCAATGTAATGAGCTTTCACGGAGGGAAATTATTAAGAGATGTTACTTTAGATATCTAAAATGTTAAAGTGTTTTTTCTATTTTCAATTTTTAGATTTTTAAGACAAAGTTGACTTCCGAGTTTATAATTTTGATTCGAAAAAAATTTCCAGGTAACATTAAATTTAACGTATTTCTGTATATTGATTGCTCAGTTTCTTAAGTGGATCTTAGAACTACGGAAGAAGGACGGAGAAGCATTAGCGCACAGAAAAGTGATTTTTGAAAGAGAGATTATAAAAAAAATGATAATGAAAAGTGATTATGAAAAGTGATTATGAAAAAATTATTATGGAAAATGATTATGAAAAGTGATTATGAAAAAATAATAAGAATGCGATTCTTTCACATTCTTATTATTTTTTCATAATATCTAATGTCTTCAGCTACTGTTACATAGTTAAGATTAAAACAAAGGATTTAACGATTACTATTATTTCCATTCATGCAGGAATATGTCTCATACTAAAACCATTCCTTAGATATTGATAAAACTTTGCTTTCTCTATTATAAGACAATTTTAATGAGACAAAAAATGCATTAACGATTATTGATAAAAGCATGAAAGGTTTCGTCAACTAACTGGAATTTCAGAATGACAATTATTAGCATACTGCTGATCTATTTTAATTAAGTACTTGGTTAAAAACAGCTGGCTCACGTCTGGATAATTGTGCTCTTTGGGACTAGACTGGTTTATTTGTTTACGACAAAGTTATCTTCCTAAACGGAGAGTTGCCTTCGTAGAAGAAGGAAGGAAATTAGAAAAGAACTAAACCGTTCCAAGGAAACTATTCTCATATTATCCTTACACTTGGAAGTACTGATATGAACCTGGGGCGAACTATCTGTGCTCAGGGATGTTTTTCGTTCAGCGACAGGACGGCCACATTCCCTGTGAAAACCTTTCAATTTTCTGCAATTTTCTAAACATAAGATTACACTTAAGAACTTATTAATACCACAAGTTTTGAAGCAAACAGTTACTGTGATCTAAAGATATTACTTATTACACCTCAGAATAATGCACAATGTAGTATATAGCCTCGAAGCATGACTGGTCATAAGCAACGTTCTTAGCTTTAAATTCTTTTAATGTTTAAGGCCCACCAGCGGCCGAACGGTAAAGACGCTGAACACTGGTAGTTCGGTCCGAGGTTCGAATCCCGCGAACGGGCTGGCTGCATGGGCGTTTTCGTGGTTTTCCCCCTGTGTAACGTGTATACGAACCAGTTTCCTTTAGAAGGTCCTCCACGAAGGCATCCCTCCCTTTAGGCAGATAGCCCTTGTGTGCTTTGATTAAATAATCCAATCCAATCTTTTAATTTTTAACCGTGCCACCAACATACCCTTTACAGAACTAAAGAGAATACTGTTTGGTTTGATTTATTTGATAATAGCAAAGCACTCGAGGACTATCTGCCTAAGGAAAGGGATCTTTCGTGGAGGACTTTGCGAAAAATATATAATTTACTTAACAGTTATTTTACTTTGAAGCAGCTTTTCTTATCGTTCTTGCTTTCAGTTCAAACTTTCTTGCCAGAATGTAAATGAGCTAGCCCGCGTATATTCTAATGAAGTAGAAAGAAGTTAGTATTTAAGAGAAGATTTTGGAAGGTGAATTCAGAGCGTGTTTTACCTCCATGAAAGTCACGTTGTTATTTTGATTTCTCTAGCTATTAGATTTCTGTGGCATTGAACGCTTTTTGCCGTTAGGCTTGTTTACGCCGACTTTTAGACGTCAGAGCCAACCTGCGAGTAATTAACCTCTGAAGCCGTTCCGCTAAATTTAACATTCATTTAATTTTAAGTTAGTATTACCTTTGGAGTGTTGACTTTTGAAAGCATGAATTGGTACCATCTGTGAGCTTCAGTCTGAGTTAGCATTCTTTACATCTTTCTCCTGATTATGTCGCTCTTTAAGACTTAAGGAATAATTCCTTAAGCTGTCTTCTGATGTTTAGTTCAGCTTGTAATACCAAAGCAAACGAGATGTTATAACTTTCTAAGGAAATGGCCCCCATTTCACATATTTATAAGATGCAGAAATGAAAAGAGCAAATGTAGTTGAACACTGAATTGAAAAGAAAACTTACTCTATGCCAGTTTATTTTGAAGCTGCGATAACTTTTGACTGTGCCAAAATGAGAATAGTACTTAAAATATATGGCTAACCAATTAGCTTTTCCCTTTTACTTTTCTATTGGGTTGTTCGGAAAGTAATTTCGTTTTTTTTTTTTGGGGGGGGGGGGAACATGAAAGGCAATTTTCGTATAATGAATAAATATTTTATTAAATTATATATTGGCCATTCTGGTCCAACCCCTTTTGCCATCTTTCTGGCAGTAACATGATTCCCCGCTCATAAAAGTTTGGGTCCTTGCTGTGAAAAAACTGATTCAGGTGATGTTTGACATCTTCATTTGAGGTAAAGGTTTTACCATCCAAAAAATTGTGCAGGGACCGAAACAAATAATAATCGGAAGGCGACAGATCTGGAGAATATGGTGGGTGTTGCAGTATGTCCCATTCAAGCTGTAAAAGCTTTTGGCGAGTGACCAAACTTGTATGAGGTCTCATATTATCCTAGTGGAACACTACACCCTTCCTGTTGGTTAATTCTGGCCTCTTCTGTTTAAGTGCATCATTCAATTTGTCCAGCTGATGACAATAGACTTCCGAATTAATAGTTGTATTGTCCGGTAAAAGCTAAAAAAAAAAAAGATTCCTTTGAAATCCCACCAAACGGACAGCATCACCTTTTTTTGGTGAATGTTGGCTTTTGAAACGCTTTGAGCCGGTTCATCTTTTCTGCTCCATGACCTCTTGCGTTTCACATTGTTGTATACGACCCATTTTTCGTCCCCAGTAATAATCCGCTTCGAAAATGGATCATTTTCCTGACGTTTGAGGAGGGAATTACACACGTCAACGCAACGACACAAATTTCGCTCCGTAAGAACATGGGGCACCCACACGTCGAGCTTCGAGGTTAAGCCCAGGCCTTTCAAGTGGCCATAAACAGTCGAATTCGACAAATTTAACCTCTCACCGATCTCTCGTGTGGTTATTCGCCGATTTGCATCAACTAATGCCTTTATCGCATCTTTGTCAGCTTCGACCGGCCTTCCAGACCGTGGTGCATCTTCGACATCAAAATTGCCGGATCGAAACTTTGCAAACCAGTTCTGGCACTGGCGTACTGTTAACACGCCTTCTCCATACACATCCGTCAATTTGTTTCTCGCTTGGACAGCATTTTTACCTTTTCTGAAGTAAAAAAGTAAAATATGACGAAAATGCTGCTTACTGCTCTCCATATTTAAAAGGGCACCAACCAAAAACTACTGCGTAGAACTAATAGAACTTTTTCACACACAAGCCTTGTAATATCAGCTCTCAAGACATATAATGGTTATGCGGCTTAAGTGTAAAGTTGGTTTCGAAAAAATGTAATTAAGTCCTCTGACGGGAAAAAGCGAAATTACTTTCCGAACAACCCAATACATATTGTTGCTTATGTCACCCGCCAGTCTCAAATGTATCTAAATGGTTAAGACCTACCTAAAGGATCTTCGACATCAAAATTGCCGGATCGAAACTTTGCAAACCAGTTCTGGCACTGGCGTACTGTTAACACGCCTTCTCCATACACATCCGTCAATTTTTTTCTCGCTTGGACAGCATTTTTACCTTTTCTGAAGTAAAAAAGTAAAATATGACGAAAATGCTGCTTACTGCTCTCCATATTTAAAAGGGCACCAACCAAAAACTACTACGTAGAATTAATTCGAACTTTCTTCACACACAAGCCTTGTAATATCAGCTCTCAAGACATATAATGGTTATGCGGGTTAAAGTGTAAAGTTGGTTTCGAAAAAATGTAATTAAGTCCTCTGACGGGAAAAAGCGAAATTACTTTCCGAACAACCCAATACATATTGTTGCTTATGTCACCCGCCAGTCTCAAATGTATCTAAATGGTTAAGACCTACCTAAAGGAGTAAAGTAAAACTTTAAGAAATGGCGCATATATGACTGACACAGAAATATGCTTTAGCGTGACCATCGTACAACGAGGATTACTTCGCGAAACAAATGACAGCTAGCCAGAAAGAAGATGGTTGAGCAAATTAACCTAAAATTCACGTTAGTAATTTAGTTACGTTAATTTAGCGTTAGTCACGTTAGTGTAGGTGACAGTAAAGCTAAATATCCCATCTGAGTTCTGTTTCAGTGATTATGAATTGCATTTTAAAAATTTTCTTTAAGGTTATATATAATAAATTTCATTTTTCTTTTGAAAACTAAACGTGATGATTTAAGCTATTTCAATTTCTTTATCAGCAATACTCGTCTAGATAATTTGCTAAATGACAAAAAGCCCCAATATTAGGAAACGCAGCCTAATTTCTAAGTTTACATCACGGAAAATAAGTCTTCATTCATAGCGGAGTATTCTCATTTAATAGGAATAGCTGTGTTAAAAATGCAGCTAAAATATTATAGGAAATTCCATAAGTCGGTTTGCGTTACTTTTTATTCAGTATTCAAAATTTGAAAACAAGCATTCATAGTTAAGACACAATAACACGCCGAATAAATACTAATTCAGAAGTCAAACAACAAAAATCAGCGTTATACCTACAAAATTTTCACAGGACTAGTTTCGATGGTTTTACCGAACCATCATCTTCAGCTGCAAAACCGCAAATGAACAAGATACGAAATAATGATTAGATAAGATAAGAAAGCCTGGACAAGAATAAGCAAGTGGCGCCATCTGTTGGCGAAACCAGAACTAAAACATAATTTCTCTAAAAGCCGAAGGCAATTGATGGAATTAGGATCGTTACTAGACAGAAAGATTTTTATGATGAA